AAAGCTGAAGGGAGAATTTAAAGATGTCCAGACAGAGCTTTCTAAGTTGGTGAGCATGTGATTTTAGCATCTGACCTGAAACCGTGTCTTGCAGCCTCGTAGGTGTTGATCTTTCTCATGATGGAGGTGGATATTCTGTTATGCTACTGCTTGGACAGTCAAAGTGTACATGTACAAAGAAGCTGTTTAAGGTGTCAGGGAGGGCCAGGTCATGGCAAAGCTGCTGGTCACTGTATTTACAATGGATGAACAAGATGCTTCATACTGCATGGGTTGTTGTTATTGTTCAAGTACCCCATCGATGCATTGCTTCCATCTGTACTTTGCCTGCTGGATTCCCTTTTTCAGTTTGCTCCAGGCCCTGCTGCATGTCCTGATCTGTTAGCTGTATCCTGAGCTTTCTGCAGAGTCCACGCTGTGCTGTCAACGCATGAAATGGGCGGAAGAAATATCTTGATTGTTTTTTTTGGGTAGGGCAGCAAAAGTAAATAAAGAACAGCACAGATGATAGGATAGCTTCACAGTTTAAAGCTGTTGTCCTTTTTTTGATAACTTTAGAATTGCATTTTTATTGGTCTACAGTACCTCTGCAAAAATGTTTGACTACTTACAGAAAAGCATAGCCTCTAAAAAAGAAAAGACAAACAATGAGATATGCAGAGAAATCATCTGGTGATTGGATTGTTACAATTTCCATTTAAAACGTCATTCATTCAATAAAAAACTAACTCAAAGGTACCAATTTTTACTATCAGTGAGATGTTTTAAAATAAATTCAAAGGAAGCCTTTAAGTAAAAGATCTTGAGCTACTCAGTTTATTGATTTGAAGCTTTAAATAATGAGGAATAATGAGTCAGAAATCAACCAATAAAAGGTAAATGGCTCATAGAAATAGAAGAAACATCAAACTACAGCGACTCATTTATATGTTTAGGAACAACACTGACTCAAGTGAAAGCCTCTAAATCTCTAGGGAACGCTCAGGCTCCAAGAAAGACTTTGCAAAGCTACTAATTTTAGATTTTTACCATTTTCCTGTCATGGATTTGACCATAATGGATCTGTAAATGTTGACAGATAGCTTATAATTATGTAATAATTTCTTTGAGATATTGGTAACACACTCTTTTATAGGGACTCATACAAGTCAATTTAAACGGTCGGTGCATCTTTGGAACATTTGATTTACCTTCTAGAAAGGGTATTGCTGTAGAAAACCAAGAAACAAGTGGCTATTTAATTTTTGCTTTAAAATACAACAATTTTACATTTAAATATGAAGCATTTTTCTATGTCATAAAGGGATCCTAGAGTTTAAACGTTCTCAGCTGATGGTGTATGTTCTTACACTGTACAGCCTGACGCTCTGATGCGATCTACCTACTCACACTATACGTCCAGAAATCACACATCGGACTCAGCGCCGAGAGATGGCGCTAGTTGGACCTGCTGATCTGGAATAAAGAATAAGAAGAACTCCCTTGTTTGCACATTCGCACTGCGTGAGGTTCTGGTAAATCAGCTTGTAAACGCTCATAACTCGTCATTCCCAGAAGCACAATCCGTATCATCAGCTCATTTGCGCACGTGCAACATGATATACATCCGGGTCGTCCTCTATTCTATTTGGTAAAAAAGACCTAAATTATGTTTTTCCCTCCCCCAAAGTAGTAAGTGTACTAAACTATAATATGTTTAAGGTTAATAATGTGTTTCCTGAGAAAATAAATGCCTTAAAATCCTTCCTGTTTTATCACTCGTCTGTGCCGGAAATGGGATCTTATGCTTCCTCCGAGAGCTAACTTTTTCAGCTTTAGAAGATAAAGCTAGTCTTTTTGAGTTTTATTTCTTCCTTCTGTGTTAACATTATGATATATAGTGCGTGATCTAAAGAAAGAAGTAACAAAAAAAAAGATAAATATGGTTCCTGTTAAAAGGGAGTTTTTCCTCTCCACTGTCGCTACAAGCATGCTTAGTGTGAGGGATTGTATTTGAGTCAATGAGTCAATGCAATCAACTGGTTTTCCTTAGATAGAAAACTTTGTATCAATTTGATTGTATGATCTGGTTGAACTGTAAAGTGCCTTGAGATGACATGTGTTGTGAATTTGGCGATATATAAATAAACTGAATTGAATTGAAAATGTAATCATATTTTGCCAGACTGCTCTGAGCATGACCAATGATGACGTCAGACAAGCAGTGTAACGGATAAAATGTAAAAAACATCAAATTGTCTCAGAAAAGGTAATAAAAAATGTTTTGAAGTTTTGTATTAACATTCTTAAGTTATTTCAGGATTAAAATAAGTATTTTTAGTACCAAAATAACAATATTTTTGGCACCCCTGATGAATATCTGCTTGCGAAATCAGCCAAATGATCCAATAGTACGGATCTTGCTTCCAGTACATATCGGGTAGCGACACTGCTTTAGCAGCAGGATTCCCTCACGAACACCTTATGATGGCCGACTGGATTTCAAACACGTTTGATTTTCTATTGACCTAACAAATCCTGATCAGGAGGTGGTCGTGAGAGGCTGACTACCCCTCGATACCCCCTGTATACTACACGACGCAGGATGCACGATGAGGCTGAAACTCGGCTCGATCAAAAATATTCTCACACAACCGGAGAATCGGCCCGAAATGGGCAAACATTCGAACAGTTTATGCCCAGCCTTAGTCTGCTCTAGGGCTGCTGTGTGAGATGCTTTGGAGTACTCAGCCATGATAATTGTGGTTCTAGACTACATTACCCAGGAGGGCCAGAATGGGGCCTGTGTGGTTTTATGGTGGTAAAGAGCCAGAGAAATCGCTCCCCCCACAAAAACAACCAACCAAACGAACCAGCAAAATCAACAGGACAATAGTATACCATTGATTAAGTGAGCCAGTTAGCCACAGAGCCAGTTGCAGCGCTGATGCTGCTGGTTGCATATTAATATTTCTTCCTTTTTTTTTTTGTAATTCTTAAAGCTATCTGAAAACACTTGTCAGTTCTGTTTTTTTTTTCTACTACTGTATACTATCATAAGAAAATAATTTTGTGTTATTCAGTTAGTACAGAGGCCATAAAAGGGCACTGGGCACTGGCCCCTGCCTAAAACTGCCCACGAAAGTACAGATTTCTGTGACCAAATAGTGTGATTGCTGTAGACCAAAATACATTTTATCTTGGTCTACAGCAACAATGGCACCCTGTCACATTGAGTTCCACTAAAAAGTGACAATATCCGGACTCAGAAAATGACGACAGAAATCTTTTTATTTCTGTTTGAAAGAAATGTTTTTTTTTTTGTTTTTTTTTTGCTAATCAAAATATTAAGGAAACTCAAATAAATGTTTAGATTACAGCAGCCAGGGTTTTTTTTCCATCTCATTTGAACACAGAAAAAATATGTTTAATTCTCTTTAAACATTTTGTATTTTTTTTTTTACTTTATGTATTTTAAAACAACAATCAAATAAAAACAGAAAACAAGTATTAAGATTATCATCTCTGAGTCAGGAAAACTCTTTCCTGTCAGTGCCATGCAAATTTTATTTTTCATTAAGGACACTGATGTTTGTTCTAACATATTCAAATACAACTTTTAAATGTATTATTGACATTATTACTGACTTGAAATAGATTTTTTTAAACTGGAAGGATTTCCGATTGAAGAGTCTATCATGAGCAGCTGAACAGCAGATTTTGTTTATTAAATTCAGCCGGTTTGCACATATCCAGCAGCCTACTGTACAGGTGTTTGGTGAAAATGCTTATCAAGACGAGAGGCTGTAAGAGCCCAAAACAAAATAAAATGAATGTATTCTTTATTCATTAATTTTTCAGTATATTGAATTTCTGGCTATAAAAAACTGCTCTCCATTTTCTATATTTACAAACTGAAAGTTGAAAAAAGTAATTGTTTCTTGCTTTTTCATTGTTGGTTTTAAATTGAAAAATAAATGCAAAATTGAAACACAGGTTTACTGGACCCTACTGTATTTTTGTCTTTTGATATTGGACATCGGCTACAAGAATCAGAGGAGGGAACACTGAATGAGAGGTTTTAGCAAAAATGGTGGTCCGTGGTGCATGTTCTATTTCTTTTAAGCCATATGACACATCAAACAACTGAACATTTAATTCAGCATTTGTATTAATCCCTGACTCATAATTTTCATTAGCAGTTTTCCAAAACTAGGTTTATAACCGGCAGAACTTCTGTAAAAGTGAACCTTTTAATGAAACACCAAAGAATATTTTGCCATTTCAGTGTTTCACAGCAAAAAAGCAATTATATTTTAGCCTTTATAAAACTCCTACAGCACTAATGCTTTTTCAGGTTTTGCAGTATCCGAAGGTGTAATGCATGAGAGGGATTAAAAGACACCTTCAGCATTTGTCAGATCAGAGCTGGGGGGGAGGTTTTTACCTCACAGTGGGGGTAAAAGTATGCTGACAACCTCTGCAGGATAAAAAAAAAAAAAAAAAGGAAAAGAAAAAATGACTTGGCACCAATATTCTTACTTCACATTATTCTCTTCCAAACGGCAAACCTAGATACACAGAATAAGGTCATGTCTATAAAGTGTTAAGCCTGAAAAGGAAAAGATGTGCAGAAATGTAAAACTAATTAATTCTGCACACTGTATGCGTGTTGTGCATAATGCTTAACTACTGGATTACTTGTTAAAGAAGAAAACCTGCTATCCATGGTTGAAAAGCTTCAACAGAAACATGTGTGGGAGTCGTGGCTTGTGTAAAAAGAGAATCGCTAAGACGCACATCTTTTCTTACCGCTGCTAATAATCATTGATTTGATTTTACTCCACAAAATACAAAGAGAATATGACTACATACAATATTGCTAAGGGGGATAGTTCTAAATCTAACACTAAAGAAAAACCTGTTAATTATTGGCGCTGTAGGCTTTTAAATAAGAGTATAACAGAAAAATTATTGAAGCTTAGAAAATCAAACTTTGAATATAAGAAATCTGGCCTTACCTGGGAGGACATGCCATGGCACGGGTAGAGGATGGCTTTGTCATCGTCCTCTGAGCCTTGGTCAAGGCAGTAACCACTGGCTTTACTGTTTCTCACCTGAAAGAAATCACGGTTTCACAATTAAGATTTGTTTCCATCAATAGGAAATTGAAGCACCTAGAGAATCAAAAGACTCTGTCGAAATGATATATGTATAAAGCAATATTGAAGGACCTCATTACTTTCATTTTGCACCTTTCAGCTGAACTCTTTTTTGACAGACCGGGTTTTAACGAACCTTACTACAAAAACAGTTTGACTAACTTGAAAAAATTTACTGTAGATTTTAGATATACACTTCATGGGAATTAAAAGGGAATTAAAATGGAAAACAAGTAGAACTACTAAAAATTATAGTTTAAAAATAAAATAGTTCTTTGTGAAAATAAGTTTGGTTGAGTGAAGGTTAGTTTTCATTGTCTACTTTCAAGACTGGGCTTAAAACATTGCTTTGTGGTGGATCTTATAGTTAGAGTGGATCAGGTTATCCTAAGCTGTCTCTATAGCTGTGATGTTATAGGCTAAGGGAGCCAAAACAACACTTTTCATCATTCTGCTTCATCCTATCTCTGTTCTCCCATTGTTTAGTGTTAGTTTAGCCTCTAACTTTATGTTCTCTGGAGAAGCAGCATTAATTTCCTATTCTCTACTTGTCTGGAACAAACTCCAGGAGTTTTTTTTTGTGTCAAAGTTAAAAGCAATTTTTTTAAAACCTGCCTTTACTGATGTATCATTAGTTTAAGGTGATTTTCCAATTGTTTTATTTGTTTCACCGCTTCATTTGCTTTCTTTAAAAAATTTTTTCTCTTCTATAAAAAAAAATGCCTTGCCATATTGATCAGAGCTTTTATGTTACTTGGTAAGTCTGCTTGTGTCTCCTTGAACCCCAGTCGGCCTCAGCAGAAGGCTGCTCACACTGAGCTTGGATCTACTGCAGGTTTCTTCTTTTTTCCTCTCTACTGTTGCCACATGCATGCTTGGTGTGAGAGACTGGTGTAGTGTCAACGACATAATGCAAGCAAATATTTATAGTCTTTGCTTTGGCAGAAGAAGCAAATACCGGTACTGCAAAGTCAATAACTCAATACAATTAGCTGGGTTTCCCTGGGCAGAGAGCCAGTCTGACCCTATGATCTGATTGAATTGTCTCTGTAAAGTGCCTTGAGATAACAGGTGTTTTCAAATGGTGCTATGCAGTAAATTAACTGAATCAAACTCTTTAGAGTAAAGGTAGCGATTGTTTAAACTCTTATAAGTTTAAAGATAGTTATACTACATGCAATAGCATTTCTTAGTATTAATCCAGATTAGTTGGTTCCAGAAGACTGAAAATAATGTCTTATTTAAATATTTAAGCGGACTTAACCATTTTACACTAACTTAAATAAATAAAAAGTCATAGCAGTTAATGAGAAAGCTATATAAAACATGTGGAATTCGTACAGTGTTTATTGAGATGCAAATGTAATTATGTTGCAAATGCATAGAGGAAGCGGTGCACCACCAATAATCTTCCCAAGAGAAACATCCAAAGGTGCTTCAAGAAAACCATTTGAATGATTTTTACTCTGCCTAATCTCTCTTTTATTTGGTTGATGTGATGGCATGTGCTTTTTTTGTCTTCATTGCAGGTTTGAGACCAAATGGCTGTTAGTGAAAATAGTTACTGGTTTATGAATATAAATTCCAATGCTAATTTTTTGAATTTTTAAACATGGACTGTCAACTCCAATCTTAGAAGGCCAGGAGCTTTTTGATCTGTATCATGTCCAGCACAGCTAAATCAAAAGAACCAAAATCCCCCCTGAAGCACCCGGGTGCTAATGACCTTATTATTGGGTCCAGGTGTGTTGAGAGAGATACATGCAAAGGTTGAAAGACCCTGCCCCTTGGACAGTTAAAGTCTGACACTGATGGCATAAAGATGTATAGCATAGCATCTGAGTAAAACCACTCTGATTTGTTTTTGCATTACACTTTTTGTTTTGAACTTACACTTGGCCATCCTCTGGCACATTTTATTAGAAACTCCCTGTACAAATCCTGAACTATTCCCATCAGTTTACTTCTTTTCAAATTACAGATCCTTAAAATGAAAATAAGTGGATACATAGAACAAATCAGGCTTTTGATAGATAACTAATATTAGAATGTAATAATTTCATGTATATGATTTGGTGCTTTTAACTGTACATATTCCTGATGAGCAGGTAGGATTTTTTATAGTAAAAAAAAAAGCCATTAAAGACCATATATATTTAAAAAATGTGGTTTCTAATTAACTACTTGCAGAAAAACCTACCTGTTAAGAGTGAGCCAAAAAGCACAATAACCTAGTTGCATACTGAAGGTATGCACAAAATTACCCTAATCTGTAGTTAACGCACATTTGATTTAATTTAGGTTTAAGCTTTCTCAATAAAGTCTCGTTTGGGTGTGTTTTGGTGGCACCAACATAATTATTGTAATCTAATTAAATAATCGGAGAGATTCCAAATTATAGATTGTCTTGGGCTCAAATCCTACTGAATGATACAAGCTCTTGAATTTGACATGTACAGTATTTGCTGAGGAACAAACACAACAACTCACCAGTCTAGCAGGTAGAAGCCCTGATCGCTCTGTCTCCAATTATTTAACTAATGCATTTTCTTACTTTAATGAATTTCTCCTTTAAAATAATTCCAAAATGAATTAGTTAAGAAAGCTATGAAGTATTAATACTAAAAATAAAAAAATACTTCCTTTTTATCCAGAGTTTGTTTACTCCGGCGTGACATACAATCTTAAAAGGGTTTGATGGGTTTCCATCTAAAATCTGAATTTTTTTTTTATTAAATCTCTTAATATGTGATGTGTTCTGGTTGCTGTGTGTCTGAACACCACATGCTGTAGAACCAAACCTGTTTTATCTACTATATCCTATCATTATTTGTCGGGTCTCTTAGGTATTGAGTAACAATTTAAAATCATATATCTTGTGAACCTTAAGAGTCTATCAGCATGCTTTTTGCTCTCTTTCGCCGTATGTGGCAAAAATGTGTTGTTGCTCAAAAATTAGTTGTATTTAAAGCTTGTCACAATTCCTTTAAGAATGATTTATGCTTTTTATCAGAGCAGCAAATAATTAAAGGAATTCTGTCTCAAAGTGTTTACTTTTAATCTGTAATAACACATTTTTGAGGTTTTTGAGATTTGTGTCAGGCCCAAAGATCTAATGACAAAAAAGTGACTTTTTTGCCTCCCAATTTGTTATAACAAATATTCTAGATAGTTATAGAAAATAAACCGTGTTTTTTGGCGAATAGAACATTACCAAAATCTTTTTCAGAAACAGCTGCTGCTCCCATGGTTATCTTTATGCAGCCCTGGTATTTAACTATTGTTTAGAGAAAAAAAAGAAAATAAAAAGACCTGATTCATTTACACAATATTTTGTTGACTCTATGGGGACTATAAATGTACCTATAGATTGAAATTATTCCGCAACTATGGTAACAATTCACACTATACTTCAGTTTGCAAAGAAATACAAGCACATACATTAATATGCCAATGAGGGTCATTCTTTAGGCTATTGTTGTCTTGTACCTATAATCAGAATTTCTTCCAGTGTGCATACTGCACTGCCTCATGTAGGTCTACAATGGCTTATTCACAAAGCTGTCAGGAAGCTTCAAGTCATCCTGAAGGCCGGTCCATGATAGGATGTTGTCATGCAGCGACCAGTCACAAATTTCTCTCTCTTTGTCTCCTCCAGGCTAAATGATGGCGTGCATTTAGTAGGGGCCTTAGCTGTGATTTGAATTTGTATGGCTTAATTTCCAGGTTGCGACATTTCTCTCATGTGCTGTTGTTGGGAAGGGTTGCACTCGGCTGTTCTGAACAGCGAGACTGAGTGCAATGAGTCCTGATGCTTAGTGACAGATGGGACACACGTCTGCTGCAGCTGCTGTGTGGCGGTGCAAGGTAACGGCTTCCCAGCTTGTCGACAGATCTGAAATAGTGCCACTTGAGTGGATGCCACTCTGAGAAATCCAGTTGCTGGATACTGGAGCAAAAAACAGGCATCGAAGGAAACAAAGAAGGTGTAAGAATCCCCAAACGATTGATGAATATAAAAGGTAATTCTGATTTCCTAGACATGCAGGGGCTTATTGATATTCAAAATTTCCCATATCCCAAATGGATATGAGTAAAAAAAAAAAAAGGCACATTTCGGTAAGCCTGAAAACAATGACTAACTCAGGAGGGTGCTCAATCATTCAACCTCCCATAAAAAGCTTCTCTTCCCCTACTGGGCTGAGTGCTCAAGCAGACACAAGACAATCAAGCCGGAATGGAAAACTAATAAGTTTTTAATTAAAACTCATTATAGGGAAATCGTATCTAATTTTGTGAAGAGATTTTAGTCTGTAAAAGCTGCAACAGAAACTTACCCTGGACCTTGAAAAGTCAAGTCATGGTCTCTGTTTATCTTGTGAGATTTGAAGGTTAAGGCATTTGGCCTGTCAGGCTAGTCATCTTCTTTAGTAACAATCTATTTAATGGCCATCTAAAAAAAGGTTATATTTAATTTACTTTCACACAAAGGTGCTTCAGCTCTTTATCTATAACTAATGGCAGGGGGGAAAAAATAAAACTTCCTGATTTGGCAACCTTCCCATAGGAATACATCAAGTAAAGACATTTTCTTGCAGTCCAAACCCAATCATGGCAAAGTGAGATTGTACACGCTAACATGCTTGGTTAAAGCTACTACCAAGGCTTTTATGCAAAAAAAGTTAAGCTTAGGTCAGATACATAGGGCTGAGAAAACCCATTAACACTGCAAATAATTATCTAAAGATGAGCAATAATTTCTCAAAATAAGTGTATTTAACCTTAATATTAGTGGTTAAATAAGATGATCTGCCAAAGGAATTAGTATTTTTAGCGTTAAAATAAGATGATTGGATATTATGCGCTTTAAATAAGAGACTGCCGTTGTTTTTTCTTATTTAAAATATAAATTGTCTTATTCCATTGGCAAAGTGTCAACCTTATCTGTTCAATTCAAGAAAAAATATACTTATTTTAAGACAAATTGACTTATTTCGATTTTTATATTTTGCAGTGTACCAACTTACTCAACTTTTTTTTAGATTCTCAAATTTTTTTGTCAGACAAGTATATGAATTCATACGCACCGTTCAAAAATTGGCTGAAAAGACATTGTAAATACGACATGATTTACGTCCAAACGTCTATATTTGGTTGAAAAGAGTAAGGTGCAAAGCTGTAATTTTCAGATTGTTGAAAAGAAGTTGAAAACTGGATTTGCAACTTCTTTTCAACAATCTGAAAAATTTCAATATCTATCATTGGACTTAAGTGGGACAAAAATCGGACCGACTAAACACTAGCCAATTTCCAACAATGATTTTGGACTAAATCAAGATTACTATGGACCGACCAGATTTAGCCTAAAAACCAATATCTAAATGAGATTTTTTAATGGGATAATGCTTGCAAAGCAGACTTGTTAGCCTAAAAATACATTCATCTGCAGTACAGCTTTCACCATTAGCCCCCTGCCCAACCCAACATTTATCAAAGAGTTGTGAGGTATTCTGAGTTTAGTCAGCAAGAATTAACAACTAGGTGGATGTAAGCAGATGTGAACAAATGGCTCTAAAGACCTATCGTTAAAGGGTTCCTACAGCATAAGGCAAGTTAAATTCAAGACTTTTTAAGACTCTTGAATGCCACTTGAAATAAAAGGTTAACACCAACTTCAAAATAAGCACAAGAAAAGTCTAATTGTGACAAATTTACCATAATGTTTTTTTTTTTTTTTTTTGAAATAACCCATTACTTTCTGGCCCAGTAAAAAAAAAAAAAGAAAAACTATCCAAAGAGGAAAAAAGCAAAAAAAGCATCCCAGTCTTATTTTGTCCTTCACTTAGAGTTTAGAAATCTATAATCAAACCACTTTTTTTTGCTATTAAATCTTAATTAAAAAAAAAAATTATAACAAAAGGCTTTTTATCAACATTACCCAAGTTGTCTAGATAAAAAATTAGTGGGGGCATCACCCAAAGGCCTGACCGCAACATCGTTTTTATTGTTTCCGCTATCAGGATGGAACCAATAATGGTTACAGCAAGCCATTTGGTAAATGTAAAAATGAAAAATAAAAAATCGCCAATTATTTTAATGTTTAATATAGATTACAAAACTAGAATCCTATTTATTACATGATAACAATTTTAGGACCTATGAAAAATTGATATAAGAAATTTTAATATCAACTAAGGCCTTACTTTTATACTGAAGAATTGAATGCCTTTCAAAGTCTTTTAAGGATCCACAGGAACCCTGTAATAGCACCAAACTACATGGATATCACCTTGAAGCAGAGTTGAACCATGATTCAGATACCGTAGGTTGTAGCACCAGAGGACCGATTGAGGTTTTGGTCCAGTAACAATAGTTCAGCCCTATTTCCAGTAGGAAAATACATAATCATCAGTCAAGAAATCTTCATCAGCTGTTAACTATCATATCAATATGGGCCAAAATCTGGAAGTAATGATCCTGACACCTTGATGAATCTATGCCAGAAAGAAGTAAGGCAGTTCCAGTGGCAATTGTATTCTAACCAAAGTCCTCAGAAAGAATGTTCCATAGTTTGTTTTTAGAAATAAATGTGATATCAGAATGTCCCTTCTCCTTCTTTTCAGTATTAGAAGTCATCCCTGTCTTATTTTGTTCTTCACTTAGTTTGGAAATCTATTTTTTGCTATTAAATCTTAATTCAAAAAGATCATAACAAAAGGCTTTTTATCAAAAGATTCTCAAGAGTTAATCTTTATAAGTTTATTAGATTTGTTAAATCAAATTATCCACCTTTGCTTTAGCTTCCTCTTTAAAAACTGCGCCTTCTCTATAATTGGATCAAAGCTGATATTATGGTTGAATTAACATTCAGTCTATTTCCAGCAATCCCTTTTGCAAGCCCTTGTCTCACCTCGCCGTATGTGATGGTGTTGTTGTAGATCCGCATCTCTGGGTAGACGTGCTCTAGGTACCAGCGAAAGCTCCGACATTGCATCCTTTTCCTCAAGGCCACACGCTCTGAGACATCTCCAAAATCAACTCCTGGGTTCTGTTGAAATTTTCAAAACAAAAGCAGAGAAAACAAAATACATACAAATCTGACAAACAAACACACAGCATAGATAATTCTTCTCCAGGAGAGAAAGATGTAATAGTTATAGAGTGCTAAGAAGACACAATTTGCATTTAGGTAAGAGATGAATAGATGCACTCGTGATTTGAGACTTTCATTGTTCCTCCATTAGACATGATCTGCACTTAGCAAACTCTAATCAACTGCTTGATTATGAGTGCTCACGGCCAGATAGCACTATGGAGGATGGTGTCTGGATTGATTGGGTGAAGGCCTAATAGCTGAAACGCCTCAAGCCTAATTCTGACACTCACACTCACACACACACACACTGTGCATATCAATAAATGCACACACTGCCCTGCATTAATATGGACTCATATAGAAATGAATACATTATGTATCGCAGCAATCCTATAGAGATGACTTCTACAGAAACACACAAAGCTGTTTCCAGATGCTGTTTCCAAGCAATGCCTGTTCTATTGCCAACTATGAAGCCAACATGTGTCAATAATGAATTCCAGTTAGAAATATTTCCTTGTTTCTTGGCTACCAGAACACCAATACTCACATTCAGCTTCAGCGAGTTGCTGTTTGGTATTTGGACTCAGGGCTGCTCACTGTGGTGAATCATAAAGCCCTCTCCCTTCGAAGTAATTGTGCTCTCAGCAGGCATCTTAGACAATAACAAGAGTCTGTGAGTGTGTGGGGAACTTTGGAGGGGTTTGATGAAATAATCGAAGCATTAGGTCTTTACTGTAGACAGAATAACTCCACACCACAGGAAAGCTGGGGTAATAACATGCCATGCCACTGTGTATGGGGAGTGCAAGTTTGTCACCTGCTGCATTCTTTTCCCACAGAACCTCAATGCTTCCTGCTGATTTATGTTTGTCTTTTATACAGTTTCTTTTCAGCAGAGTGTTAATCAGGGCTGATGGAAGTACTTTTGAACAGGGGGTGCTGTGCACATTTTTTGTTACTTTTGGACAAAAGACCTATGAACCTATTGGCCTATTTAAAGTGCAATAAAAATAAATAAGAAAATAGATTGAGATTCACTACGGTATTGTCATATAGACTTCAAGGCACGCAACCAGGGTCTGTAAGACAGAGATCATCAGTTTTCAGGTGAATATATGCTCTACTAATTAAATTTCACAATAACACAATAACAATATAGATTTGTTCAGCTGGCATGAACAGAGTCACTCTATTTATGTCACACATGACTATTAGTTCCAAAATCCTTTTACGCAAACCAAAAGGAAGTAGTTAGATTAGTAAATGATTAAAACCTTATTGAACCTTATTCTCCACATCCATTACACAAAGAACACAAGATCAAAACAACACTATAATATACTATTGTTGCCTTAAACTGCACTAATATATATAAAAGTTTGCAGTGGCACCATGCTCTTACTTTGTGCTACAGGCAGGGGGCTGGCTCATGAGTGGACGAATCTGAAATCCATTTCTGTGCCATATTTCCTCCTCGTTCCTGTCAATAGACTATGTACATTTACCAGCTATAGCGGCATACCATGCACTAGCTTGCCTAACGTTGCCATGACAATGTAACTTCCTTGAACTTGTGTTTATTAGGCATCAAAATAATTATATTAAAATCCAAATACAAGTAAGAGTAAAATTAAAAAAAGTCAATGTCATTTCCCAAAATTTTCATAATAAATGTATAAATTGTGCAAAGTATTTTTTATACATTATACATTAAATCGCCCTCTCGCCACTAGAAGGTGCTGCAGCACCCCCACTTCTCGCGGCCATGTTGTTAAAAGTAGTTATTAACAAAAGCTGTTTATTGTAATTCTCTGGAACATGCTATTTTTTGTAATATTTTTAAGGTCTTAGATGTGCTTCATTTGTAATCATATCCTCCTTAGCACCAGAGGGGAAAATTAGATTTTAATATTAAACTCTCCATTAAAAAAGCAGGAGCTCAGTATTTAGCAGCTCATCTCAAAAGACTTTAGCAATTAAAACTGATTCAAGGTTTGTTTCTTTAACTTGTTGATCCCTTCTTCATACTCAGTCTATTACCTGTGTGAAGATCAGGCTGGGTCTAATCTGAGTTTTGAATGTCTACCGATTAGTGTCAAACTTGACCGGTGGATTTGAATGAAGAACTGAGATGTAAGGAAAGGGGCACCCCAGAGAGTGATCCAAAAAAGAAAAGGCTTACATTCATGGGAATGTTCCAGGCCATGTAGACGTGGGATTTGTATTCATCCATCCACACTTCAGCCGCTCTCAGGGCATTGCGTTTCGCGTAGTAGTCTATATCGTTGTTGTAGGGTTTCTTGGTGCGCTCAATATGGGCAACTCTGGCACAAGGCAGGACCTCCATGCTCCCTCCACACTGCCAAACCTAGACAACATAAAAATTAATGGTTGGAATTAAGTAAAGAGTCATAAAGAAATACATTTTATTTACCCCCCACATTTCTCCTATCTTTGCTTTTTTTCCCCAGATCAAACTAAATGTTATCCATCTATTTTCTGTTACGCTGGTCCCAAGAGGGGTGCTGGGGTCATCTCCAGCTGTCTACGGGCGAGAGGCGGGGAACATCCTGGTCACCAGTCAATTGCAGGGCAACACAGAGACAAACAGGACAAACAACCCTTCACGCACACACTCACACCTAAGAATAATTTAGAGAAGCCAATTAACCTAACAGTCATGTTTTTGGACTGTGGGAGGAAGCTTGAATAACCGGAGAGAACCCACGCATGCTCAGGGAGAATATGCAAACTCCATGTAGAAAGATGCAAAATAACCCAATTTAATACAATAACTCCAATACTTTAAAATTTATTGTAGAGGACCTTTGGCTAACCCGTTATTACAGAATTTTCGGAAACAATCTGATAGACTGAGGGGTTTCTATGCATGAAAGGCCTGTTTTGAATTGAACTGAATTGAATTTAGCAATTTATGATTTTTAATTATTCAGAAGCGGAGATGATGTTAGTTTGCTTTGGACGATTTCTTTACTCCATAAACTCATTTAGTTGAGCTTATGGTCAAAGAACTATGCTCTGTCTAAACCAAAATGGTTTGGTAGAGAGTGGGATTCATGGTTTTATCATAAGCTGATGTTACAAGTTCAAACCTGGTAAAAAAGTCTTCAAAAAAGCTTTTTACAAAACCTCCCATCGTCACACTGACTATTGGACAAGCAAATGCCATTTCCAACATGACCTCAAGAACATTTATCACCTAAACCAATGGGAGGGTCTAAAAGTCACCAAATAATTCAAAATATAAAAATGAAAGATTTTGGCTTCAAACTAAACGAAGTTTATTCATAATGTCTAAAGAAAGAAAACTAAATTGATGGAACTTACTATTTATAAAATTTTAAATAAACACCTTGTTTACCCAAATTATAACCAATGATGTACAAATCCTAAAGCAAAAGCCCCCCGAGGGTATGAAACTACCACTATCATGCTTAATTGCACAGTAGGTATAACGTTCTTATAGCCAAAAAGGCTGTTATGGTTTTAAGGGGGGACAAATATTTTCTTAAAAGTAAAATGTTTGTCTCATCATTATCTGACTTTTGTTTAAGAAAATGATTCATTTTTCTAATGTATGATCTGGTTAAATTGTCTCTGCTAAGTGCCTTGAGATGACATGATTTGTGAATTGGCGCTATATAAATAAACTAAACAAAACATTTTATTAATGTACATATTTATACACAGGAACAAAATGTTTGAAACACACCATCAAAAGATACTAGTTAACAGGGCATTCAGAAATGTTTCCAGAACTTTTTCACCCGTAGTTTTGAGATGGCATTTCGTAGCATGAAATCAATATACAAATGAATGTATTAAGACTATAGGTAACAAACCATAAGGTTTCCATGATATTCCAGAGTACTTTAAATTTTTTACCCATAAAAAAAATGAACAAAACTTTGCTTTGTTTGTCTAAAAGCTCTATCAATATTTAGGCAACTGCCATGTCTATTTTCTTACCCAGAAAACACTTCAAAAGGTCTGAATTGATGGGCATAAAAATATGTTTACACATGCAAGCAGAGAACTGATCATATTCAGGTATAGCCCTCTTTTTTTCCATTTAAAAAATCTCATGGGCTTCTTTGGTAAAAAAGTCAGATCTTAGTACTATAGCAAACACTGTGACATGAAGATGCATATGCATTTGGAGTTACAGCCCATGCTGATTATAACTACTAATAATTGATAATAATTGCTGCCATTGTAATAAACTATTATTTTTTAATTATTGTCATTATCAGGGTCTATATTGTTTTATCATTACTGCTATAATTTTTCTAGGATTAAATTAGGTGAGTGAATAATCAGGCTAGAGAAAAATTCCCTTCGGCTGGTCCCATGTTTTGGAGTTGTCACAGCATGTCTTTACAATTCTTACACTTGGCAGAGCTTATATATTTTTTTCTGATGAAACCAGGACTGAAAAATGAGGGAACTGTGAATTATAATCAGGATAAATGTTTTATAAAGCTCACCAACAGCTCAATAACTGACTCCCCAGAGAGTTACCACTGACAACGAGAAATCCCTCATACTACAAGTTTATGGTAGAGAGAGTTATACGAGAAACCCTACAATGCATAAATCTAATTTTTGAAAGCATCCGTCAGTGCAGAGAGAAATCATTTATTCTAGTCAAAGGGATGCTGTGATCATTGACTACATGCTCAGGTGGAGAAGCAGAAAAGTTATTTTTCAAAGCCTAAAAACTGCCGTAACAAGGTCTATCTTTCTGACATAAAGCATCCCTGTCTGGGAATCTATGTCATGCTGAGGTAAATAGAGGCAGCAGCAACATCCTGACACAGTGTCGCCATAAGGCCAGAAAGCATGGTAATGTTCTTACAGCCACGCAAACTACTGTCGCCTCCATCACCCACTGCGTCCTAATGATTATCACCACAATGTGTAACAGATGCTGCCATTCATTAACATCTCTGTGAACCCAAAAGGAAGCCTACTGCACAGTGTTTAATGTGAATAGTGCTGGAAAACCCTTTATCCAGCTACCTGAAAAAAGGGAGAGAAGCCGGTGTGGAACTCTCAGGATTTAATTAAGGATCACTAGGATATATGTAGCTTCTAGTTTAGGTCATGATAACAACAATTCTACTTTGCTGTAAAATGCTTACACTGAAGGTTAAATTTTGCACATCATCCCATGTCTCTCATCAAAAAGTTTCTACACTAGATAAGCCAAAAAATTCTAACTATCATACAGGATCAAAGATCAAAGTACAAACTGGTGCTTTTCCATAATATGGGATAACATTTTTATATTCTATAATGTAAATGGAGACCTGACTCATCACCCGTGCAAATTTCCATGCACTGACTCACTAATGTGGTCCAAATAATTATAAGAATGGACATTTATAACCCACCTGAATGAGAAATATTAACCTTTGTATATGAAAAGTATGTTTTCGGGGAGACAATTTTCTTGTTGTAAGCTGTACACGTAACTTTGGAAGCAGTATGATTTATTAGCACATAATATGTACATAGCAATGGAAAATCTCCCTTACAACTAGGGGTTTTAGTCAACCATCTGTTGCCATCTTTTTGTTAAAATGGATTGTATGTTTGTCAAAATAAGATATTCTACAATTAGGTGAGAGAAAAAATAAGATCAATAAAAAACATATGCCAAAATTTAAGATTCAGATTTCCTTGTTGTCAGCTCATACATGTTACATGAAATGTTTAATTTGCAAGAATGCATGCTGAGAAGCTGAGAATAGAAGTTACATCTTGGCAGTGTAACAAATATTAATCCCAAATTTACAAGTACAAATTACAAATTCATGGGTACGAATCCACAACCCTTGAAGAAACTGTTGCACTCCCTATAAGATGGTGGTGCTAGTGCACCTGAAAGATGTTTCTATATTGCCTTTTCATGAGGAAACAAGAAACAAGAAGAAACATTACAATATGAATGTACGAAAACAATATTTCAATCAATGGTTTTGTTTTTGGCTTCCACTTCCTGTTTAATGGCAGTTGCAGAACAGCCTTCAGGTGTATTACATCAACTGGCAAAGAGTGGAACAGCTTTAATATGGGTTTTAAATTTGTACTCATAGAAGTTTTGTTCTAAATGTGTGATCTTTACTTGCAGTTTTGCAAAGTTGTATCGTTGTAAGGTATACTTGTAACTTCTTAACTTCTCTTCTTACATGAACCACCTGATGTCACTTATATCAGTGAGAATTGAAAAATCTTTGACTTGAAGTTTTCTTACTTCATTGTATTGATAACCAAGCCCGAGGCAGAAAGATACTGTGTAGATTTTAAATTGAAATTCATGTATCCATCTGGAAAGTTTTCACAAAATGGAGGGACCTTAATCACAACTCTTGGAGCTGACTGGATAAATCAAGCGGCAAATGTCTCTGTCGAGCTTTGAGCCAGTGGCAGCAGTAGTAACAATTGTGACGTCTCACGTTTTTGATTCCTTTCACAACTAGCGGAGTTAACTGATAAATAACACTTTCACATTAATCCGGTCAGGAGAAACCAACAAACATCTTACCCATCAACAAAGGCAAAAATCACGTCTTTTAGCTCATTTTTAACAAGAAATTTTCCAGCTGAAACCTGCGCAGCCATGTTTGTTTTACTTCAGCTTCCCGCCTCTGGTTGACACGTTGACGTCATACACATCACTGCATTTCATTGGTCCGAAACATTTCTGTATCGAAGCTAATGCATCTGTTGGCTTCTGGCAAGATGTTTCGGGAACTGTTTAATGCACAAATCTTGTGACAATTCATTTTCATTAGCCAGACTTCTAGTTAGCTATTTGCAATGCACATATTTAGTTAACTTTATCTGTCAGTTTGTTATATTTTGGTTAAAATGCAATTGATTAATTCCTTTTTCTTCGAGTTGCCAGTTTACTTCGGAGCTGCAGCTTTCTCCTTCTTATTTGGTTGTTGCAGCCCAATCAGCAGGTCACACCACTTGTTGAATTGGGAAGGGAAATTTGTTTATCATTTGTTTAGATCTTCTTTTTTTAACAGTTTTGTTAATATTTGTTCTCTTTAAAAAGTACTTAGTGTCTGGCCATTATTTGACTATTTAAGTATATTTGTTTGTTAATCAGTTATCCCCCTTGTGTGTCAACAGTGGTGCGATCAACCACTATTTAAGTTTACCTCATGTCTTGTTTGAAAAGTGAGTTTGTGCTTGAGTTCTTTGTGTTAATAGGGTGGGTATTGAGTTCTTTGTGATATATATATATATATATATATATACATATATATATATATATATATATATATATATATACATATACATACACTTTTAGGAAATACATTAACACCTTTT